TGGCTTGCATTTAGCTGACCTGGGTTTGATCCCTGGCATCCCATGTGGTGCCTGAGCCCTGCCAGGAGTGATCCCTGAGCTCAGGTCAAGTCTTAAGTAAGTCTTGAGCACCACTGGGTGTGATCCCCAAGAAAAAAAAATACATAACTGGGCTGGAGTGACATTATGGTGGATAAGGTGCTTGCCTTGCATGTGGCTGACCCAGGTTTGATACCTGGTGCAACATATAGCCCTGAGTACAGCCAGGTGGGATTTCTCCCTCTCCCCCCAAAAAATTAGTACATAATGTCAACTGTGGGCACAGAGAGACAGTAACAGCTGATATAGTGTTTGTCTTGGACACGACTGGCCTGTTTCGATCCCCAGAATCCCATATGGTTCCCTTAGCACCACCAGGACTAGTTCCTGAGTGAAGAGCCAGGAAACCCTCTGAGCATTGCCAGGCATGGCCCAAAAACAAAACAAAATAAACATCAACTGTAATTGTGATGAACAATTTTGCTTTAATAATAGCATATTTGTGCACATTAGCACTTACTATTTTATTTTATTTGTTTACAGGTCCTATCAGGTGGTACTTGGGAGACATTTCCAGCACAGTGCTTGAGAGTTCTTTCCAATGGTGCTCAGAAGACCGTGTGGTGCCAGGATCAAATCTGAGCTCCAGCATACAAAGCTTGTGCTGGGAACAATGGGTTAGGACAGTAAGAGGAGAGGGGCTGGAGGGATAGCACAGTGGGTAGGGCATTTGCCTTGCATGCAGCTGACCTGGGTTCGATTCCCAGCATCCCATATGGTCTCCTGAGCATCGCCAGGAGTGATTCCTGAGTGTAAAGCCAGGAGTAACCCCTGAGCATCACCGGGTGTGACCCAAAAAGAAAAAAAATAGATAGTAGGAGGAGAAAGGCAGAATGGGCAGAAAACAGGAACCTGATATCTGGAAAGCTGGTGCCAATGTGGAAAGCCACTGAGTCAAGGGTCCTGTGACTGCTCTGTCTCTGTTCTTTCTCCCAAGGGGGAACAATCCCTTGAGATAACCTCACTAGAAAGATGTCTGTCCCGATATACTTGAGGTCCTTAGATGTGTAAAAGTTTAGCCTGGATGGTTTGAATAATCAGGTCCCTGAAATAACATTTTTAATGAAACAACTTTAATTTTTTTTTCTGGGAGGAGACTTTGAGCCACACCCAGCGGTGCTCAGAGATTGAGCTTTGCACTAAGGGGTCCCTCCTGATGGGGCTCAGGAGATGATATGGGGTGCTGGGGATCGAACCCAGCTCCAGCTACATGCTTGCAGGCAAGGGCTGTGCTATCATTCCAGCCCCCAAATCTTGACAATTCTTAAATCTAGAGTACTTGCTCCTAATCTTCCTGAGGTACTTTCTCATTTAATGGGGAAAGCTGTTACTGTTTTTGTTTGTTTCTTTTCTAGTTTTTGGTTTGTTTGTTTTGAGACTACACCTGGCAGTGCTCAGGGCTGACTCCTGGCACTGCACTCAGGGATCATGTCTGGTGGGGCTTAGGGGGACCATATGGGGTATGAGGGATCAAACTTAAGCTGTTAGTGATTCCTGAGAGCAGAACCAGGTGCACCTGAGCACCGCTGGGCATGAAACCACTCCCCACTCCCCAAAAAAACAAAACAAAACAACAAAAATTAGGAGTTCTCAAGATTTTCTTACGTGTCACAGAATGTGTGATGCCATATGAGTCTCTCCGGGAACACACCAATCTGTCAGGCTCCAGTCTGTTGGTCTGCTCCTTCACCCAGTGTGTTGCTTTTCAGTCACGTAGGGAAGCTGCTCCCATAAAGCAGAGTTGACCGACACAGGCCCGCCCACAAGGCATCATGCAACCTAGGATGATGACAGACAACGAAGAATAATCTAGTATGAGGGGGCCAGCGGAGTAGTACAGGGGTTAAGGCACTTGCCTGGCATGTCACCAACTCTGTTCAACCCCAGCACCTCATATGGTCATCTGAGCAGTGCCAGGAATGATCTCTGAGCACAGAGCCGGGGTAAGCCCTGAGCACAATCATGTGTGGACTCAAACCAAAACAATCAAACAAAATCTACGGGGTCTGGGAGATAGTGCAAAAGGCATGCCAGAGCCCCAGATTTGATCCCCAGCACAGGTTGATTCCCTGACCACCTCCAGGAGCAACCCCCAAGTTCTGAGTTTGCGGTACCCCTGAGCACCACAAGTAGGATAGCACAAAATAAAAATCAATCTAATGCTTTTATTACAGGGCTGGTTCAAACCAGAGAGAACTTGGGCTCCAATTCAGTTCTAATGGCTAAAGAGATAGTACAGGGCTGGAGTGATAGTACAGCAGGTAGGGCGTTTGCCTTGCATGCGGCTGACCTGGGTTCAATTCCCTGCATCCCATATGGTCCCCTGAGCACCACCAAGATTAATTCCTGAGAGCAAAGCCAGAAGTAACCCCTGAGCATTGCCAGATGTGGCCCCAAAAATAATAAAAAAAAAACAAAGAAAAGGAAAAAGAGATAGTACAGCAGGCAGGGAGGTTGCCTTATATGTGGTGGACCTGGGTTTAATCTCCCACTTCCCACTTCCCCAAGCACCTCCAGGAGGGATTCCTGAGTGAAGAGCCAGGAGTAACCCCTGAGTATCACCAGGTGTGTTTCCCACCCCCCCAAAAAAGGCAACTAAATCATATACCCTAATGAATATCCAGGAGCTTCACTTAATTTTTAAATTTTATTTTGTAGAGGGTCTGGAGTGATAGCACAGCAGGTAGGGCGTTTGCCTTGCACATGGCTGACCCAGGTTTGATTCCCAGCATCCCATATGATCCCCTGAGTACCACCAGGAGTAACTCCTGAGTGCATGAGCCAGGAGTAATCCCTGTGCGTCACTGGGTGTGACCCAAAAAGAAAAAAAATATTCGGTGGAATGGGGTTATAACTGGCTCTATGCTCAGGAGTGAGCCCTGGTGATGCTTTGGGAACTATATGTTTTATCAGGGATTTCAACTGAGATCTTCAGAATCCAAGATGCAAGGCCAGGGCTTTAAGTCCTGTACTATTTCTCTGGCCCCCAGGAGGTCCACTTTATTCCAGGGTGGGCTCCTGACAGCTCAAGTGTGCTTCATATTTAAGAGAAGGAGTCAGAGAGATGATACTGGGATAAATACTTGCTTCAGATCCCAGTGATCCAACATATGGGTCTCTGGTCCCCACATATGGTCCCTGGAGCATAAAAGTTCTTTCCTGAGCACAGAGTCAGGCCAGAAAGACAGTATGGTGTCTGCTGCTTTTGATTGACACAGTTTTTTTAAAAACTTATTTTTTGGTTACACCTAGCAGTGCTCAGGGGTTACTCCTGGTTCTTTGCTCAGGGATCACTCACAGTGGGGCTCAGAGGGTGGGAGAGATCAAGCCCTTGTTTGCCAAGTGCAAGGCAAGCACCTTACCTGCTGTACTATCTATCTGGTCCCTCAAGTCAGCTTATATTGGTGACACCACATATGGTCCTTTAAGCAACAGCAGGAGTGAACCCTGAGCACAGCAGCTGGAGTAAATCCTGAGCACAGCCAGTTGTGGCCCCCAAACTAATCAACCAAACCATACAGCTTTAGGAACAAGAGATGAAGACTGAAGCTCTTAGGGCTTGCATCTCAGAAATTTCCTTACACTGTATTCTGTGAAAGGGGATCGAGGAGTCTCATCTTGTTAGCAGGTTACTCCCTTGGAAGGGAGATTTTTGCTATCACCCACCATTTGGCTAAAAGTTGGTAGTGATATTGGGACGCTCAGGAGCTTGGCCAGCCTATGACTTTAGTTCCTGCACTGCCCGCCTGGCCTCTCCTGCTTAGTTGTATGGCTCTGGATAAATGACTGAGGCTTCTCAGCACTTACCTTCTCATCTGACAAGGGAACTGGTAACAATTTGTCCAGTGGTGGCTGCAGGAAAGAGAGGCTTGGGAGAGGGATAGAGGGGTGTGTGTGTGTGTGTGTGTGTGTGTGTGTGTGTGAAACATTCTGCGATAGCATGTGGTATTGGCACTTTATATGCACAAAACTTTATTATTAACAGTATGTAAATTACATTCCCCCCCCCTTTTTTTTAAGAGGGAGAGAAGAGATGTGTCTGGCTGCAGAGAGAATATAGAGGAACTAAGGCAGTTGTCTTGCATGTCGTAAATTTGGGTTGATCCTGATTAGATCTGGGCACCATTACAAGGTCTCCTGAGCACCACTGGGTGTGTTCCAAACTCCTGCACCCCAAAAGAAAGGTTTCCCAGGACCAGGACCCTGCTATTCTTGCAGGAGATCTGGATTTAATTCTGGCATAACATGGTCATCCTAGAGTCAGGAGTGATAGTACAATATGTCGGGCGTTTGCCTTGCATGCAGCAGACCTGGGTTGGACCCTTGCATCCCATATGGTCCGTCTACACTGCCAGGAGTAGTTCCTGAATGCAGAGCCTTGAGCACAGTCGGTTGTGGCCCCCAAACTAAAACCAAAACCAAACCAACCAACAAAAAAATCATGGTCCTCATAGTTCCCAGCCAGGGATAGCCCCCTAGCACTACCACTCCAAAACAAAGAGATAGTCTTCACATGCAACGCTAGAGTACTGTTTCCTCCCTTTAACAGCTCAGAGCACTACTATCTACCACCTTTCACTCAAGAGCTCATAGATTTCCCAGGAGGTTTATGTGCCACAGATGAGATAATTCCAGGCCGAAAGTCCATGGTATTCTCTAGCCTTGGGGACGGCGTGGCGGGGGGGGGGGGGAGTGCCTGAGGCGGCAGTGCGGAGTAGCGTGAACGCACTACCAGAAAAGGCGCTAGGGACCCAAAGAACCAAACGTGTAGCCCCGAGCCGGGATCCAGCCTCACTCCCCTACACCGGCCCCCCCCCCAGCCCCGCGGAGGCGCAGCCGCGGCCACGCCCCTTCCTGGCGAGGCCCCGCCCCCGGCCCGGCCGCGTGACGCGTGTGCGCGCGCGGCGCCTGCGCGCTGGGCGCTGTCTTCCCCCGGCCCGAGCGGCGGCGGCGGCGGTGTTTGAGTGCGGGAAGATGGCGGCTCGGGGCGGCTCGGGGCTGCCCCGGCTCTGAGCGCCCCGAGTGCGGCGAGCGCGGCCGGAGGCGCGGCCAGGCTCCGCCGGCCCTGTCCGCGGCTCCGTCCCCGCCGAGCGAACCCGAGAGCGTGGCGCGGGCCGGGCCAGGTGAGGCCTCCCCCGCCCCGTCCCGGCGCCTCCTGCCCCTTTCTGCCCCCCAGACCCGCCGGTGGGGGGGGGGACAAGTGGGCGCCCGCGCTGCCCACCCCCCCACCGCGCCCCGGGGGCGGGCACGGGTCGCGGGCCGGCCCCGAGGTGGTGGGGGGCTTGCTGTCGTCACGCCCGGCCTCGCTGGTTTCGGCCGCGGAGGGGGAGCGCTCCTTCCCAGCCAGCCCCGGGCAGGGGTGGGGACCCCGGGGGTCCCTCTTGTCGCTCCCTCTTGCCCTGCCGAGCGGCTTCCCCGGGAGCGGGGGGGACACGGGGGGCCGCGGCCGGGGCGGCGGCGCTCGGCGTGCCAGCCAGCTCTGCACCCCGCCCCCGAGTCTGGACCGCCTTTGGAGAGGAGACGGAGTCGGGGGGCGCCCCGAGGCCGGGGGTCGCGGCGGAGCCGGTGGGCACCTGCGAGGCTGCGGCTGCAGAGCGGGGAGACCCGGGGCTGCGCCCAGCCGCACACTCCACGGAGCGCCTCGCGTGTGCCCACCGGCGAGTGGGCACTGCGGACCTCTGGGTGGAGACGACGGCACAGCCACGTTGGGACCGTGGGAAGGCGGTTGTCGGGGTGTGTTGGGGCGGGGGCGGGCGCGGGGGGCCCCCCGCGGGGAGGGTGGGGACCGGTTTGGAGGCGCAGGAGTGACCATTGTACGCTGCAGGTACAGTCTGCGGCGCTGCCCGGGTGCGCGTCATGCCCTCGCCGGGCAGAGCTTTGTGTTAGTAAGATTCGGAGTAGTCCATTGTTTCTGTCTGTCGGTTCAAAAATCGCCCGAGTTTCGTTGGGAAAATAAAAGCTTCATTTCTCAATAGCCAAAGCCTATGGACTTTTCTCTGTGCGGTGGAATTCTGATTTCTCGGGATTCAGGCTCGGTACCCGTTCTCACTTGTTGGCAGGAACCTTCTTGGACTGTTATTCTTTTTAAAGATCAACTTTTTTTTTTTTTTTTTTTGGTGTTCAGGTGCTAATTTGGAGACCTTGATTTAGGGAAGCTGATTTGAAGTTGGGGTTGTGATATGGGGAATTCATGTCAAAAAAAAATCTTAACGTGTGTTGGTTTTAGGTTAGGCACAAAATACCTTTTTTAATTTAGATTCCTATGTGCTTTAGAATGATGACATCATGGACTTAAAGGGACAAGGAGGATTTAAGAGGAAATGCTAGAGAGTTGACCATTTAAAATTAATTCTTTTACAGTTGAGTAGTGATGTTGTGTCAAATTCCTGAGTGTTTCCATGTGTACAATGTCATTGGCTATTCCTTCTAGTCATTTTATAACCGGTAACTGTTTCTAACAAGTCAAGAGATTATTCAGTCTACATTGACCATGGTTGTTTTGTTTACTTAAAAAATCATTAAAATGAAGCTGTTTGGTTCAATATCAGCTAATTCTTTGACTTTTTCTTCTTTCCCTAAAATGTTTTCTCTAAAGATTTATGAATTTTCCTAGTGTCTTTGCTAGGAATATAAACCTGAACCAACTTTTCTGTTATGGAAAATGGAGAACCACTCTATATACAGTTAGTTTGCTGATAAGGTAATGAAATTTATGAAACAATACATTCTGGTGGTGACTTTGGGATAATGCTTTTTGGTATAATGTGTTGTATTGTGCTAAATCATCATCAGGTCTTGATGCAGTTTCATGACACCCATGACATCATGCACACCAGCAATATTTGCAGTTCCTTCTCAGTGTCACAAAGAGAACAAATCAGGAAAAATCACTTAAGAGTATTTCTTAATACCTGATTTCTGGAAGAACCATTATTTAGCGCTGCCTTTTTTTTTTTCCCTCTCAGAAGAGTTTATTGGTTTTTGGGCCACACCTGGAGCTGCCAGGTACTCCTGGCTCTACACTCAGGGATCATTCCTGGCAGTGCTCAGGGGTCCATATGGGCTGCTGCATGCAAGCAAGTGCCGTACTGCTGTACTTCTCTCTGGTCCCTAAAACTGCTTTTTGTACTTAAAACCCTTCTGTAAAATTAGGTGTGTGATTTTTGCCTTTTTTGGCACGGAGGGGTTGTGGGGTGGAAGGAACCCACACCTAGCGATGGTCGGAGCTTACTCTGAGTTCCGCACTCAGAATGACTCCTTGGTGGTGCTTGGGGGACTATATCGGATGCCAGAATTGAGCCCGGGTCAGCTGCGTGCAGGACAAGGGCCCTGCCGCTCTCGCTCCATCCCCAATTTTGGCTTATTATGAAGAACAAACCCAGAAAATGCTAACAAAGCCTGGTCAAAGACGTTACCTCAAAGAGGAAGAAATGATAGATTATTTTTGTGGATTCAGGTTTTTTTTTTTTTAGCTTACTAAAATGAACAGGGTTTTATGTTTGTTTTTGTTCTGTTTTGGTGCTATACTCGCCACTGCCACTGAATGCTTGGGGTTGCTCCTGGTGGTGCTACGTGGGTTCAGGATAGAGGTGGGGTGGAAATGACTACAACATGCTAAACGGGGCCTTGAACTCAGGGCCTCCTGGATGCAGATCATGCATGCACTGTAGTCTTTGAGCTCATTCTCTGGGCCTGAATTAACAACACTTTATAAAATTTGAAGCCGTTTTGTTAAATAAGTCCCTTCCCACTTCACAAGATTATGTGCCTCAAAGGAGGTTGTGTTTGTAAAAGTGGTTTGCAATATAAAAGGCAAATGAGATTATTTAAAAATTAATTCTATGAAAACACCTTCTGATGGTCCCCTGTGTACTGGGCATTTTGGAAAGTAGGTACTAATTGTGAAATTACGTCTCTTTGTCTCGAAATTGTCCATAATCTAGTTGAGGAGTCAAGTCAGACAAGGAAATCAGTTAATTATCGTGTTTTGAAAGTAGTGCAATGAATCCAGCCAGGGAATGCTTCTCAGAGCAAGCGTGGCTTTCCCCAGCTATTGCTGTTCTGCACAAAAGTCTGCCTTTTGTGAGAGATTTTTGCTTTTATTTATTTATTGGGCATGGAGTGTGGCTTGGGCCACACCTGATAATGCCTCGGGCTTACTCCTGATTCTGCACTGAGGAATTACTTCTGGTGGGGCTCAGGGAGCCCGATGGGATGCCAGGGATCAAACCACCCTATCCACTATACTGTCACCTCAGCCCAGAGATTTGTTATTTTATAAAAACTTCCTTTTTTTTTTTTTTTTTTTTTTGCTTTTTGGGTCACACCTGGTGATGCACAGGGGTTACTCCTGGCTCTGCACTCAGGAATTACCTCTGGTGGTGCTCGGGGACCATATGGGATGCTGGGAATCGAACCCTGGTTGGCCGCTTGCAAGGCAAATGTCCTACCCGCTGTGCTATTGCTCCAGCCCCTATTTTATAAAAAACTTCTTGAAAATTATATCTTTGTTTTGGGGGGAGTGGCCACACCTGAGTGCTCAGGACTTGCTCCGGGCTCTGGACTTAGGGGATTTTATCTCGAGGGTCTGGAGAAGTGGCTCAAAGGGCTCTAATGTATGCTTTTTATGTGGGGACCTGGGTTCAATTCCTGATGTTACATGGTCCCCCCAACACTGCTGAGTGTGTTCCCCAAACCAACAAAAATTAAAAAAAATTATATCATGAGTTAATTTCCCCTTTTATTCATTCATTGCTATGACACTTCCCACACAGCAAGGCCCTGTTATGGTTTCTGCATTCTCAGAAATCCAGCAGTCTTGGAAGAACCTTTCTGAGAGTGAGTCATACAACACAGGCAGCAAATACAAACATTGTAGCTGCAATTAAAATATCTCAGATTACTAAGTGGTGACAACTTCAGAGTGGTGATGTTTTCTGTTTTTGTTTCATAAATTTGGCATAAGAAACACTGCATGGTTTAAATTTGATCATTTTTTGGTTATTGTTTAGTTGCCAGTACTTTAGACCCTTGTTGATTGCAGATTGTTTCTTACTACTCTGCCCTTTCTCCCAATAAATATATAAAATAAGAAGATTCTCTTTTTAGGTAAAGCCGACAGTTAAACTAGAGCCATACTAAACTATTTTACAAAAGCAAGGCCAGAGAGACAGCACAGTGGGTAAATGCCACCAATCCAGATTCGATCCCTGGCATCCTAGATGGTCCCTCTAGCGACTGCAGAGCCAGGAGTAACCCCCTGTGCATCACCAGGTGGGCGTCAAACCACACACACACACACACAAAAGCCACGTAGGTGACTGAGAAAACATAACAGCTTAGATGTTGAACTTTATATCCCGAGTTCTTCATCTTAGTGTTTGATTATTTTATAATTAATTGATTTGAGGGGCACTGGCGGTGCTTACTCCTGGATCTTCACTCAGGGATAACTCCTGGCAGAGATTGGAAGACAATATGGGATGCCAGGAATCCAAACTAGCACAGAGCAAGTGCTGTACTATCTCTCTAGCTCCTTGTTTATTTTGCCTGCATTGCAAACATTTTATGAATTTTGGCTTGAGTTGAATCTTTTTCTTTGGGGGGGGGGTTGGGCCACACATAATGATGCTCAGGGATTACTCCTGGCTCTGTACTCAGGAGTTAGTCCTGGCGGTGCTCTGGGGACCATTTGTGATGCGGGTGATTGAACCCGGTTTGGTCACATGCAAGACAAGCACCCTATCTGCTGTACTCTCTCCAGCCACCTGAATTGAGTCTTTTAAGTGGTGCTATATTATTTGAACCTGTACAGTCTTTATCTTAATTTTTAATGATTCAAAGTTGTGGTTGGTAGAAAAGTGAAGATATGTATCTATTCCTTTTCTGATAAGATAACAGTTGGTTACACACTGAAGAATATGGCTTGCAGTCATTTTGAAATTACCAGTACTGTAGGGCAAAGCTGGAGAACTGGAGCCCAGTGCTTTGCACACAAGAGTCCAGGCTTCTATTTCTAGCACTACCTGTTCCACACGCATTTCAAGAGCAACCCCTGAACACTGCTGGGTGTGGCACAAAGACCTAAATAAATAGTATATGGGCCAGAGATAGTGCAGGGTTA